ATGTGGCTGCCAACTCTTTCCAGTGCTCATCTGTTCCGCTCCTGCTTTAGGCAGGAATTTGAGACTGATGCAAGCACAGAGTAATTTTAACTACTAAGATGTAAACTACATACCTCGTTTATAATTTTAAATACTGTAATTACTTCTTAAAATAAGATTGTTAACAGCAGTGTCATGGGCTTCATGAATAGTGTTAGCTTTCCCCATGTATGATGGAAAGTAATTATACCCAGACTAGTTACTGGATGCTTTAAATATTTACCTGTGTCAAAAAGGCTCAATCCAGGTTTCCATGAGTCTGTTTCCATTGCTTCCACACATGAAAGAGAAAAAAAATTATTACTAAAAATAATGGAATGAATAGAGATTACAAAGCGCTGGCTCAATTTAGAATGGTCAATTCATACAGTGAATTATTAATAACAACCAGGGTCTAAGGAAATCATAAACCTGCAAACCTTTATGCGCACATTTCAAGCCATATTTAGGAGCCTCGTATCACTGCCTCCGGAGCACTAATCTTTTTTATGATTTTAAACACATCTCTTTAGATCTGTTTTGGTCTTGTTCCTCTAAATTGCATTGATACTGAGGCAAGTGTACTGACTTCAGTATACTTTTGCTTGGCTTACATTGTTTTCCACTGAAAATCTGCAAGTACCTCTCATCTATGGATTTTTCTATCCCCTCAATCCATCCAAACACAAAGAAGTTGTCTACATTTTGCTTGCAGCCTATCAGGCGTGGAAAACTTCATCAAAATTGCTGCTTTCATAAATAAACCCCAAAGTGTCTTTGTTTTTGGGGCCTGTTGAAGAGCTTTCCCAAAAAGTGATGTTTTGCTCTGGGTTACAGCCAGATGAAAGCCCTTGTAGCCAACTAGGACAAGAACAGTACCAAGGAGCACTGGTGAGATCCTTGGCCCCTGACAGTCCATCTCCAGGTTTGTTCAGAGTGGTTTACAAAGACATGTATCTCGGACCCATTGAATCCATACTGTCTCCCATGCCTGAGTTTCCCTACCCAGACTGGCAGCTGGTGTGCTCTTGACTAGAGCCAGTGGGTGTAAGTTTGGAAAAGGTTGTGGAGTTTGCCAGTGTCCTCCAGCCTAGTGAGAGCACTGACCTTGGTGTCTTAGGTTGCAATCCCAGCAAGAAGGTATCAGCCCCTCTTTGGGAGGGAGACTTGTTGCATGAGACAGATGGCTGAATAAGATGTGTGGTCTCCCTTAGGGTAGGAGGAACCCTGTCATGTTTCATTGCTAAGGGGATTTTTCCAGAACCCCTTCCCTCCTTATGCTGAGCGCTGCTTAGACACCCTATGAAGAATCTTAAAACTGAGGAAAGAGAAGGGCTGAGAAGTCAGTCATGATACACACAGAAGTTTCGCGGTGATTTTGCTTAGGAGAAGTAGGGTGAAGGAAGGGCAGGCCTGGGTAACGGGGAAGGAAACAGGAGGAGAGACAGGAGGAATATTCCTAGTTCATCATCCACCTGGCCAGGGTCCTTTGCCAGAATTTTGTACATCCCTCAGCAGAGTCATGAGAAAACAGCAGCGACTGGAACTAGGGGTGCTGGTTGCAGAGCAGGAGGACCCTATCCATAGAGAAGAGCTGGTGCTTGTTTGTTATCAGTTGCCAACGTGTCTCCTGAATGCTGTCACTGAGAAGAACAACAGATTTCAGTGAAACCAGCTTGTGGGTAGATAATCTCAAAAGGTGTGCTTCACCCTTCCGGGGGAGAGAAGTGTCCAGTGACTGCAAAAAGAAAAGATTAATATGAAGCTACTTTTCAGCCTGACCAGCTGAAAAAAACAGCCAAGGAGCAAATCATGAAGAAGACCCTGCACTTCCTGACTCTTCCGTACAAATATGTTGCTCTATGAATTGCAGGGGGAAAAGGTCCTTAAAACAATAGGGATTGCACTGAACATGAAACCAGCCAAGGAGCTGTGCAAAGATCTGCCAGCTCTTTGTAAGCAGGGGTGTAACCTGAAGGACACGAGCAAGAGAACGTGCCTGTCCCACTTATCACAGGCCTGTGTCTGCTGCCAGCTCATTGCCAGGGACTATCCTCAGTGACTGCAGCACAGGCTCCTCTAACTTCTCTGACTGTTTAAGCTTAAAAAAGACAGGCAGATGCTTTTTGGTAACTGCAGGAAAAGATTGCTTTTTGTCAGTAGGAGCAATGCTGAAGTTCTTCTAGATTCACTTCTCTCAAGAACCACTTCAACTCAGATGACCGCAGGTGCTCTAGTCTGTCCAAACCCCTATGGTGAGAGCTGTCTATTGCTTCTTCGAGCAGTCTTCTCATGGCTCACACCCTTTTAAAACTTTCTGTGGTAAGAAAGCCCCTGTTTTTTCCTTCCTAATGAAGAAAAACACTAGATAAGTGCCAAGGGGTTTGGGTAGTGGCTGCAAATATGCAGAACATACAGCTTTCTGAGTGACCCATAAATCCAGGCAAAAGCTATATTTCTTGTATGTGGTCTTAGACACATAACAAAGAAAGCTCTCAATGAAATGCGTATCTGAACGGGAAATGATTATTCTTCTAAGTAGCTAGGTTTTTTTTTTTTTCTTCTTGATGATGCCCATAAAAATCAAGGGTTGATTTTTAAAATATTCCAAGACTGGTCTTTAAAAAAAAAAACACCACCACCACCACAACTCTTCAGTATAATTGTCTTGAAAAAAATTCTGGGCTAAGTGAGTATAGGACTTCAAGAGAGTTAATGTGCATTTTTAAGAGCTTGGAAGAGTTGAGACCTTCCGAAGAATGTACAGCAAGAAGCTGTGCAGGCAACCGGTGTGTCGGGGTGGGTGTTTTCCCACACCCTTTTGCTAACCTAAGCCGATGAGAGGAAGTTCCTCGACGGCCTGGCCAAACCCGCAGAACTGATCGCTGTTGTTTGCAGAGCAGTGTGCGCACGCTTGGTAGGATCAAGAAAAACAACTCTCGTTTCCAAGAAAGCAAGGAGTTGTTCAGGAATTTCCCTTTGATTGTTAGAAAAACTGGCTGCTTGGAAGCAACACATCCGAGCTGCCAAAACCTGGCCTGAAAAAAAGATCAGGACTCATTGGGAATGTAGCAAGTATGTGCTTGTGGGTTTTTCCCTTCTTGTTCTTGATGGAGAAAACAGAATCATTCATGATGGAAAATTTGTGCTTTGTAATCACCTTTGGGGGGACCTTAAGGTGCCTTAAGAAATTAGGTGGGGTCAAACTCTGATTTAAATAAGACTCAGCACTGTGTTCCCCTGCTTCTCCGCCAAAGATTTGGCTAGCCTGAGAATTAGCCAGCACATCGTTCAGCCCAGATGTTAGGGCTCTTCCCATTTCAGCCCTGCCAGGAAGGCAGGTCTGTCACCACAGACTATCCCTGCCCTATATGTGGTGTCACGTAATTAGTGCATTGCCATGACTGGCATGTTTCCAGGCAACATATTTGCTCTGTTGTTCTGCACAGGAAAACATTGCCCTCCTGTCTACCCTCTAAAGGTGGGCACTGGATTTTGACAAGGGCAAAGGGAGTCAGGGGAGCACAAAACCCATGAGATTAGAAAAAAAAGAAATGGCTATGACATCGGTATGGCCAAAAGGATATGAGAAAGACAGACATGAATGGAAACCAGAGGGAAGAGAAAGAGACTGAAACAAGGAAGAGAGGTATAAAAGTGAGGGAACAGAGTAAATGTTAGGAGGAAGAGGAGGAGGAGTGTATCCACTTCAAATATGCTGCAGCTAGGTCCACTACAAATTGTCATTTTCTTGGGGAGATTGCTGGGTAAACTTACTTGGCCCGTATTATCCAGAAAGTCCTACTGAATAATAATGTCCTCTAACCTCAACATCAAGGACCACTTTGCGCTCTCCTGTTGCGATACTCCTCCCGTGCTTCCCAGCTCTCACCAAAGCCCTCGGGGCCCGGGGCACCCTCAGCCTCTGCAGCCTCTTCCTCCCCAGGGGGTTTGGCTGCCTGTGCTTGAGGTCAGCTCCACTGCAGCACAGCCCTGTTGCCTTGGCCCAGGCTTGGGTGCAACAGTGAGCAAGGGCTGTGTGCGAGAAAGGGCTGTGGGAATTATCTCTGGGGGCCTCCACCCGTGCTGCTTGGGGACAGCACATAAGCGCATACCCTTGCCTTTGCTCCTTGCATCTGTGCCTAGTCTTGGACCTTGCTATCCTGATTCTGATCCTGACCTTGCCTTGCTGGTCTGGTGTCCTGCCTCAGTTGGTCAGACCTGCCTTATTGCTGGGGACTTGGCTAGCAGCCTGAGCTGTCAGCTAGCCCCAGGTACCACCAATGGACCCTCTCTGCTCTTCTTGTTGGGGCAATATGGGTATGCAGCCCTTGTCAGCAAGGGGCAGCCCTGCCTGCCTTGCTGCCGCCTCACATCCCATCCCTCACTCCGCTCTGGCTGCTCCCGGGCAAAATCCATTTCTGAGAAACTTTGCTGTCCCATCAAGGGAGAGTTAGTGTTTGTATGTGCACCGAGCGCTCTGGAGCCCTAGGAAGTTGTCGGTGGCCTTGCAGAGCACCCGCTGACAGGATTGCTTGCTGGTGAAGGATGGTAAATTGCGCAGCCAGGGAGGAAAGAAAGTACAGGTGATGGTTCTACACTCAGTATTAAAGGCAACCGCTATGGTCGCAATCAACCTGGAGGCTCCTGGGAACAACAGAAACAGAAGATTTAGCTCCACAGACCTGATAGCCTGCACAGAGCTGGTTTTTTGTTCCTTGTTTTGACTAACAAATAAGGAAAATTGCAAACACTGCAGTAGATGTTGGTTCCCATGGCCTGGAACAACAGCTCACCAGTGACCAAGCTGTCCTTTGCCTTTCACATTCAGGAAGCTGCTAGCTGGCATTCAGTGCATGAGGCTTGCTCTGGTCCTCCTCCAGGACACAGGAAAATGATCTGCGGTACTGCTTGAGGGCTAATTTTGGGTTGCTAAAATTATGAAAGAGAGCAGAAAATCTGCTGCTAGCAATCTTGCTCACCAAGGTGGGCTGGAGAGCTGGCGGCCCTCTGGAAGGCAGCAACAGGCTCTTGGCGCTGAATACCTGCATGATCCGACAAAAAGGCAAGAGGTTAGACACCAGCAGGCGAGAAGAGAGAAGAGCAATCACAAGGGATGTGGTGGCCCTAAACTTCTTTCTGCACATGTTTTCAAACAAAATGGAAAAGGAAGATGGAAACTATGGATTTAAAAAAAAGGAATTTAAAAGCTGAGAGAGGTTGGCAGAAGCAGAAGAAAAGAGTTTAAATGTTAGTTAGGTGCTGTGCAGTGTAGCTGTACACCTGTGCACTGGAAAAAGTGGTAGTGGGTCCTGAGATGGTGATCGGGCCTGAAAACTAAAAGCATGCATTTCCTCTGAGGGTCAGGCCTTCATCCCCCAAACATACACAGACACAAAGTTCACTTCTCATTTTGCAACAGCAAATGTTGTAAAAGACTTTTATAAATTGTTTTAGAATTGAGAACAATTCTAATTTTAATTATTCCTGTTTCTTTTTTTTTCCTACAAGTTACACTATTGTCATGCAATAACCAGTGTGATATCTGCTCTCACTGCATCCTGCTGCGAACATGGTTAGGAGTGAAAAACAGTGCATTACTGTGTGATTCAGTAGATGTGAATGGTGGAACTAGCTACGGGGAGGAATTAGAGAAGGGATTGTAATGCCTTTACCTGTATTGGGTCGTAAAATATTCCTGTTACTTGCAGAGGTGGAAGTGCCCCCGAATGCTTTGAAAATATTATATTGGTACATGTAACTGAAACGCAAGGTTGTCTAGAATTGTAGCAATACAAATTACTAGTTATTGTTAATTTAAGACATACCTGTATTCTGTCCTCTTCCTTGTGCAGCCTGAACCTGTCCTAAGTAGACATCAAAATGGAAAAGTGTGATTTATACCATGTTTGGTTCAGGACTACTGCTACCTGGGTTTTTCACTGAGTCTCATTTTATAGCTGTTGGAGTTAATGGTTCCTATATAGAGAGTTTTCATTAATATGCTCTCTCAGATGTTAACTCTGTATATTTTGAGCCAGCTAAAAAAAAGATTGCCTTGCTCTGTCTGTCATATAGATTAGCCTACTTAACACTCCCTTCAGTTATGAATCTTACTTGTACAGGTCTCTGGTCTGCTTTTAGAAGGTTTGTAGTTACTGCTGTGATTTGTTTTCCCTTATAACTTCCCTTCTGTCACTCATACTGGTTATCTGTGTTTATTTCTATTTCATTACCATCCAATCGTGCTGATTGTGTAAGGAAGGTTAAAAAAAGCTCCAAACCCAAAACAACCCCCCAGACCAGGTACTACCCTTTCTGCAGAGAGTGAGTGGACACAAGCAAGCAGGCAGACTGTAAATAATGAGACAATGACAAAAATAACATGGGAGCATTCACGTATTTGAAATGTCTTCACCACCATCTACACAAAAGGCTTTTTTTTAAAGGTGATTAGGATATTAAATTCCCATTGTTCAAAAATACTAAAGGCTCAAAGCATTTGCAGATGAAAACCATGTCTTTAATCATGCCTTTCATTTCATTAATTATTCTTAAGAAGCTTGTTAACAAACCTAGCCTTTAACAAGCCTTTATTCATTAGTTTTCCCAGAAAGATTAATTCCAAAGCCTGGCGAAATCAGTGGGAATGTTCTAGCTGACTCCTGTGAACACTGGACAGGGGCCCCTGAGATATTTTCATCAATAAGATATCATAAACAAAACCATTTTGAATGGTTGTCTCAGAAAACAGGAATTGCTGCTCCTTGGGAACTCGATATTGCAAAATTAGGTGACAGGAAATAACTTGCGTTTGACCCAAACTCGAACCTTCACAGGCCACTGGGAGTTCTTTGATGGGATTTCTAGGAGCTGTCCTGAGAGACCTTGTAAACTGCAGAAGCCAAAGAGATCCTGTTTAAGGAAATAACAGGCTCATCTGCCAAAACTGGCAAGGCTTTTAAACTCTGTAAGCTTGTAGCTCTGGCTCCAGATGGACCACAGCTAGCCCAGGCTGAGTTTTCAGGCTGTGGAGGGAAAAGTCTGTCTGTGCAGCAGTGTTGTGTGGGGTTGCGCAGGGCATGCATTCCATGCGGAAGATCGGTACGTGCCAAAGAGGTGGAAGAAAATTAACTCTGAGCCTGAGACCTCGCCTTGTTTCGGGTTTGCCACAACCGAGCCTGAATGTATACATAACACTCTTTACAAGGTCAGTAGAAACAGAGTACAAGATGGTAAGAGAGAGATTAGCTCCGTATCAGAAGTATTTTATATCATTTTTTAAATGAATTAACCCTACCCTCTACACCCATGTTAGCAACCTGGATTCCTCTCTATGCTCCTTTTGACTGTGCTGGGCCTCAGGGCTGTTCCCTCTTGCTGTATGCCCCTAAAGGCATGTTACCGCCATCCCCAGTAAGCTGGTTTCTGCCATGCCTTTGCTGGCTGGGGCAAACACAGCGGTGGTGGAGGGGTGGTGGTGGTGGAGGGGTGGTGGTGGTGGCTGGATGCCCAGGCACTCGCTGCCTGATGCTTGGTTGCCAGCTCAGTGCCTCCGCATGGCATTGAGGATCGCTTATGATTGCACTGTTCACTGGAGCACTGGATTTATTCCCAATCCTCACTTAGGGTCCAAGCAGCTGTGCAAGAAAGGATCGCTTGAAGAGCTGGGATGGGAGATGGGTTTGTGGCCCTTGGGAGCGTGCTTGGCTAACTGCTGTTGAAAAGAGGCAGAAGCTGTCACTGTACCAGAGCGTGGCTGAAGTTAAAGTTGTGTTCAGAGCAGGAGAGAGTTTGCATCCACTTTCAAAGCCCGCTGCCATTGCTGCTTCCCCCTCAGGATTGTCCTTGACCGTATACTGCATTGGTCAAGTGCTGCACTCGCTAGTAGGGCAGATAGGAATAAGCTGTCAAATGTCATGCTAATTGCATCAGTGGTTTTTCATTTAGCAGTTTTGCCACATCAAGTCTTTAAAGCAGGGGTCCTGTGATGGAGCAGAGTCTCAGACATTTTTCGTGTTTCCCTATCTTTAACAAACAGAAGATAAAGGGGAAAGAACAGCAAGGGCTAGGACAGAGGAGTTTTGCACCTGCTTTAATGCTGTAAGTGGCAAGTCCTGCTTTTCTTTTTCCCCTGTGAACTTGTGCCAGTGCCAGTGGCTGGGAATGGAAATGCTGGAGCTAACAGCAGCCACAGCCATGCTCATTCTGACTGTGCTTTATTTCAAGGCTATTTACTTTTGAGGTGTCTTTTGCAGGCAAACTACCAATGCCCTGTGAGAGGTAGATCTGTGAGCCAAGATGGACAGGAGAACAGGAATTTGATTCTGTCCGGTCAAGCCAAACTCTGGCTAAGGCCAACGACATCGTCAGAAACTCTGACCTGAATAATAGAAGTTAGTCCTAAAGGCTCCTCAGACAGAGAAAACTGATAAACTGCTTTGTGTATGGTCATCTCTTCAAAACTGTATTTGTACTTTCTGTATTTTTTCTTAGCCAGGTCTTCTCTTTTAGGATCAAGAAGAGATTAGGAGAATTCAGGAGGCCAGATACTGAGTACAGACATGCTGGACATGGTCCTGTCTCTGAAATCAGAGGTAGGTCTCCACCACTCTTCCAGCTCACAATAACCTGTCCCTAAGTCAGATCACTTAATCTTTTGGGAGTTAATTTATGTTTAGAACTTCAATAAAGAAAATTGTGAAGAAAGATGGATCTAAATTGCAATGAAGTGACCATTGAAAGATTTGAAAAAGTGAGTACTTTTTTATTTTTGTTTTTTCATTTTTTGACTAAAGGTTTGGTCTTATTAAAGACAAATAAAACCTTCCCACTGATTTCAGTGTTGCCAGAACTTTACCCTTAACATGCATCTCTCACTGACTGGGGAACCTCAAACAGGGTTTCCTAATTGCTAGTAAAGACAATAATGGCCTTTTCTGTGCTCAGCCTGTGGGAATAGGAAATAGAAAAGAGAGCAACCAGCAGGACCAGGTTTACAGGCACATTAGGTACTGAATGATGCAGATTGCCACTGAATTTAAACCCCTTTGAATTGTGTTGGCACTTCTGTAAATCCTGCCATACCCATACCTGCGCATTTGACTTGGTAAGATTAACCCCTCCAGCCCCTGCCCTTATTCAGGGCTCACAGCTAAATTTGACTTAATGATGCTTTCCCTCAAGACCTGAATTGTCCAAAAGATACCTTCCTTGCCATATGCTTGACTCTGAATTACTTGGCAGCAGGAACGGCCGCAGTTATGTATGTGAGAGCAAAGACGAGCTCAAGGCACTCAGAAATAGTGACAGAGCATAAAACTTAATGATGTTCCAGCTCCTTTTTCACTCAAAAGCAATCATACCCCCAAGCTCAGAAACTTGCAAACAGTTGAAAATATTCTCCTTTACTTGACCACACAGCTAAGCAATTACACATTGTATGGGAAAACACCTCCAAATACTTGCATTGAAGGCTCTGGGCTGGAATGGGAGCAGGCTTCTGGATCAAGATGCAGAGCTCTGAGCAGCCGCCACTCTGCTGTCAATAACATAAGCGGCATGCCAGAAATAACATCACATTTATGCCATACTCAGAACCACAACCTGAGGTTTCTGAAAGAGCATTGGTTTAACTTAAGTTGGCATTTCAGATCTCTCAGTCCTAAATTAAGATGGCTGTGCAGCCCTCTGCATCATGTATCTTACAACTAAATGAAGTCTCCCTTTGAGAGAGTAAGACAGAAGGAAGCAACAGGAAAACACGATTCAAACAGCACAAGCTTTTTTTCAAGTGTTGCAAAACCCAGCATTTGTCAAGGCTGAAATTCTTAGATATTCTCTAGAAAGGCTTCCCCAGAGCTGTGGGTGATCAGCATCTCTGACATTCAGGCCAACCATCTGTTTTTTAGTTTAAATCTAGACTTGGATGCAGTCATTGAGTTTGCTGAGTCTTGAAAGGTTATTGAATCATTGCTGTCTTAAAATACATTGTACTGCATGCCTTGTGGTGCATACTTCTTCACCATACTTACTTGATGCTGCAGCTACCACAGATGAATATGCTGGGTGGACACTGCTAGAACCTAAAAATAAGAGATTTTAATTTTCAGCTATTGAACCAAAAAACCCCGATGTTAATGAATAAGAATAAACAGAGAAGAAAAGATTAAGGAAAACCAGGTGTACAAAAATCATATGAGAATTCCTTCACAGTGTTTTAATCTTTGAAATCCAAAACTGTCACAAAAAGTATATTACAGCTTTCATTTATTGAAAGTTATCACAAAATTAATTCTAAAATGAGTCTTGACCTATTTGTTGAACTCTCAGTCCAGACACATAAATCAAAGAACTATTTGTTGACTCCTGTAACTGAAAATCATGACAGCATTTGGGGATGGAAAGCTTACTCCCCCATGAATCAATTTGTATGCCAATATACAGACCATCCATAGTTGTACTGCTTACTGCAGATGAACTCTCATCTCAGAGAATCTACACATTTGGGTTTATGTGAGACACACTGATTTTGTATATATCTCGAAGGCTATACCACAACTCTAACTCCAGCCCATCTGCTGGAATTAATTTCTTTATCCACTCCTAATATTTCTACATTGAGTTGCTGAATTCAGATTTACTAAATCATGGTATATTCAGCTGCATATCTTGTTCCTTAAATTTTAGGAAAGCTGTAGGTCAGGAGGAAAGCAATTCAAACATCCATGCTACTGACCTGTATCTCTGACCCTATGAAGTCCGGCTCGAGTCTTGGCTGCAGCTGCAACTGTTGTGGTTCTGGTTGTTGCAGGTGTTGTGGTTGGCTTTGGTGTTGTGGTGGAAGGATCCGTCGTTGTGGTCGTTGGTGTTGGGGTTGTGGTGGCCATTTGCGTAGCTGGTGTCGGCACTGGAGATGTCTGATACCCTTTGCGGACCCTGTCCCCTGTAGGAACATTGATACAATCACTGCAGCTGGATGTGTGACACAATCACTGCAGCTGGATGTGTGACACGCATGGAAGCATCATTAATAGCGCTGACTGTTTAATGCAACCCAGGCACTGGTGTTCTCCTCAGGATGTCTACAAGCATCCTCATCTGTGGAGCCATCAGCGCCTTCGTTGCTGTGTGTATGTGTGGCACATGCGCCTGTGTGACACAGTATCACACCGCTCTCCGGAGGGTGCTGACAACAGCCTGTTGTAGCCTTAGTGTTTCCCCTATACTTTCTCTGCTTTGGCCAGGAACACCTACCAACCTGGCAGATGTCTCAGACCTATGAAATGGTTCCACCAGCCAGTTGCAGTTGCAGTTTCCATTTTGTCATCATCTTTTCTCAGTGTAATTAGCAGTTAGAAAGTCCATATAAATGGAAATCAGCTGACATCTGAAAATAAAAGATGGCCATTCTGAGCCATAGACCAGAATAAAATATGCGTTGCCCACCACAGCACTGAAATGCTTTTGGCAGAAAGGCAACTTTCAGGTAATGGTGATTTGGGGAGCAGGTCAGAGCTGGAGCAGGGAGCGTTAGGGCTTCGGCTGAGGGGAGCCGGGAAGAGCACCACCTGGGAGGTGCTGATTTCACCTAACTGACTCATCTCACAGTTGCTACTACTTTTAAAATGTATCATCTGTTGTGAGAACAGAGACAATTCTAGTTGCAAAATTTGCATCCTAAATACCCTTATATGAAATTGTTAACATGCTTACAGCTCTTTCAACTCATTGTCTTGAAAAAGAGCCTTCACCGTTTCTTCTCCATCTGTCTACAGAAACCTGCCCTAAAATATATTCCATGTTCACCTCAGTCTTGTTCCTCTCCTCCCTGCCCATAGCTCTGGGGATGGCCTGACATGCTGTGTACACTGAAAGGGAATGGTGTGCAGTCTATTCATTGCTGCACAGCACAAGCTTGTATTTTATTGCTGGATGTTCTCCTTTTGGAAAGCATCATCATGAAACTGTCTGGTGGATTAATTACCACCTAACGCTAGCTAGTGAAAACCTCAGATCTCAGGCAGTTTTAATGGGATAATGCTGAAAGAGAGCTCAGAAGAAAAACAAAACAACTCAGCTGAAAAAAATCAGCATGAATGGCTCTCTTTGGGCTAAACAGTGTCCTGCTCCATGCTGCTGCACTAAAAGAAAGAAGACAGAAGGCACAGTGAGTCCTCCTCTGCAATCTGGTGCTGCTGCAGCGGGGACCAGGCACATCGGCTGAATTTATACCCCAGGCTGCAAGGAGCAAGGAAGCTGGGAGCTAACGGTATTAGCAGAAAACCCAAGGAAGCAGCATAATAAGAGCAGAGAAAAGATGTTGCCTTGGTGCATGTTGGCTGTGTTTCTGGTGGAACCTTTAACACAAGAGGAGGGCTCCCGAGGGCTAGCCGTTCCCAGTGCTCCTGCTGGCAGGGTGCCCATCTCCCTCCCAGTATCTTCAAAGGGTTTGCAGGGCACATGCTCTGCATAGGAAATTGCCAAGAGTTGTAACGCAGGCTTTTGAAGTTCATGGCACCTGAACTCACCCAAAGAGCAGGTAAAAATTAAACTGAGAGGGTGCCCTCTCTTCTCTGAATTGGCACTTGCCCTTCAAGCACCGTTGCAGGCGCTCATGTAATGGGGTTGGTTCGGTGGGAAAGAAGCTGTAGAAAGGAGGTTGGATGGGGGAGGTCAAGCTGTGTGTGTTACCAGTGTCAAACTGCTTCCTATAAGCATCTGCAGGCAGTTTAGACTGGGAGGGATACTGTGAAAGAGCACCGAGATCCCCAACCCATACCTTGTTCTGACGCTTTTTCTGACACATTAGCAGTATCTGCATTCTTCGTAGCTTTTAGGTCTTGCTCTGGCTTTTTAAGCTCTGAAGCAAAATTAAGCACATTAGAAAATGCAGCTCTGGAAGAAAATAATTTTAAGTCTCCTATTTAGAGATTATAGGTCCCCGAAGGAAGGCATCCCATCACCTGGCATTAGGTAGGTCAGTCAGTCTAATCAGAGCTTTCTCACCAAGCAAGAAAAAGAGATGGCTGGGTGCCTCTAGAGAGTAGTCACCCCATATTTTTGGTGCCAAATTTAGGCATTTTTACTGCCCAAAAGCTCCTGCCAATGTCAATAGAATTGCTGAAGTGAGCAATAAATATGGGGTTTTATGACTAATAAACCAATACTCATAAGATTAATGCATCATGTTGTTGATTTTTCCTCTAAGTAGCAGCCTGTCCTGAGAATCAGGGTCACAGTGTGTGTAGGGTGTTTGGGGAATACCAGCTAACATGCAATATTTCAGTCACTAATTCAAGTTCAGATGTAGTTCTTTCTTGCCTGACATTGTCACATCATCATGGGGCCAAATCCTGAATGCCACGGATTGGCTTAGAAGGAAAAGGGAGATTTTTTTGGTCCTTTTTTTCTTCTAAGACCCAAAGTCATCAAAGTACTTGGAACATTTACAGTTCATTTACTGCTACCCTGCAAAAGAATCTGTCTCTGTTTTTATGTCTGACTGAGTACTGGAGGATTTTGATCTTCCACATTTTTCTCTTCTCTAGCTATTTTGGCAGCATTGACCTATTTGAGAAATTACTCCATGATTAATGGTTTCCTAAAAACTTGTGTTATTTTTTAAAACAACAGCTTTTGATTGTTTTTACCAGCTGTGAATAGTTACAATTTTGGAAAGGTTTTTCTTGCTGTCCCCAACATTTGGGAAGCACTGTAACCACCAGCAGCATTTAAAGAAATGTCAGGCACTATGAATGTCCTGGGTCCCTGGGATGAGGACCAAAATTGCATCTCTGACAGCTAATCATGTGTGAAGCAGGATTTTTCGCTAATCTGGCAGCAAGTGAGTGTAATCCTCAGAGGACTGCCTTTACCTCCTACAGATAAAGTATCCAAGTGTGCAATGTGGTCTCTATAATTTAAATTTGAAGAAAAAGTTGGCTTTTTTAAAATTAAGAAAGAAGTAGGAAATCCTCTATCACAAGATGGCCCCAGCACCATATTACAGAGATTTTTATCTTAAGAACAAGCTGTTTCTAGCAGAGTACAGCTGAGATTGCTGGGCTGAGGCAGCAGGGCTAAACAGGGCTGACGGGGCCAAGCGGGGCTTGGGGAAAATGGATTGTGGCCATCTCTTTGCTATCTGTGGGACAGGGCTGGGCAAAGCAAGGCAGTGGCGTCCTCAAGGACTGAGTTTGATGTAACAGTTATTATTTGCTCCTTTGATCATCCTGGGTTTTCTCTGCACGAATGCACAGTCTTTGTTGCTAGGATCCTAACATTTTCATTCACACTGATTCAAGAATAAAGTGAAGGAAACCGCTTGCGTCTCTGGTTTGCTGCAGGAACAGTCCCCTGGTAGTTTGTTTGCGTGTCTGAAACGTGACTTCATGATGCTCCCCATTCCTATACTGATTCTCATGTAATGTGGGTTTTAGCACTGGTGGAAGAAATCTTTGCTTGCAGCCTGCTGAGCTCTGCCCTGGCTGTGATTGTCACTGGTCTGGTGTGAGACATTTGAGCTGATACTTCATGTGTGGGTACATTTGGAAATGATAAGATGTGGTGTTAGTGATTGTTCCCTAGAAAAAGCCAAAATTTCTAAGGTACTGCCTCCCTTCTAGCAGTATATATTTGGGTCAGTAATTTCTGCATACCTGGTCAAGACACATATATAAATCTGTACCTGTTTGATCGTAAATGCAAAGATACTGCAAACTAAAGGCATGGCTTTGAGTGATGCATATTCAATCTGAGCAACTACTGTGTTCAGATGAAAATGTGCCTTTGTGCAAGTAAAAGCCTAAAGATGAGAAAAGAGCTCTGTACTTTGCTTCCACAGACCAAACAATAATGGGCAGGAGAAGAGCAGGACTCCACATAACCTCTGTGTGGCCTTGGATGGATGCATCCACTCACAGGCATTTGAGTTCATGGAGAAGATACAGCACGTTTTCTTATACCACAGCTCACAGAGGGTAAGCTCAAGAAGGCTTTCATTCAAGGTCAGGTTGGACGGGGCTCTGAGCAACCTGATCTAGTTGAAGATGTCCCTGCTCACTGCAGGGGGGTTGGACGAGATGACCTTTAAAGGTCCCTTCCAACCCAAACTATTCTGTTCTATGATTCTATGATTTTAAAGCTCAGGCTCAGCAAACAGCAAAAGAGCTGTGTTAGGGAAGTGTGTAGTAGTGCGAGACATTCATTTTGGTTTTGTTCACACCCCCAAGGAAGAGTCTGAACATTACACAGTTGTTACAGGGGGCACAAACAAGATCATTTCAGTGACGGAGGCACTTCACGTACACCTGAATATCAACTACCACCTGGTGTGAGACTTGATCAAAGACCTCTGAAAACAACTAAATTATTTAAACTGAGTTGAGTCTTACAGAGTAGGATGCTGACTAAAATGATTATACAGAATAGTTCCTTACCATATCATCCTTAGCTAAAGCTGCAGTGCATTGCCATCTGTGACATTAATATTACATTATTATTTATTATTATATGCTCAACACTGAATATCCCAAAAGATAACATGAATAACATTAGGAGAAAGTCAACATGTAAAACCTGAAATGCTTTCGTATAATCAGTACAACATCATACTAACAGATTTAAAGCAAGGGGGAAACTACTTGAGAACAGAAGCCTATGAAACATGGTATGACCAAAATTAGAAATTGTCTGGAAAAATTTCCATACGATTACCATAAAAAATACCATGAGGAATTTGGATGAGATACTAAGGGATGCATTAACTTCTGACTCTGAATAATTATATCTTTGTATTACACAACTAAGAAGCTACAACAGATAGTTGTGAGTAGATGTAAGGGAGAGTCAGTCATAATTACTTGCCTGATTTAACAGCTGTGCTTTTTGAAGAAGCATATTCAAGAGTTGATGGATATGTCACACCTTTTCTTGGCTTGCCCTCTAAAAAAAAATCATGAAAAAACATCACAAAAATTTTCTAAGTTTTCTTGCAACAAAACTCCTATCTAACATATGAGTTCAGAATCAGACCCCACTTCTTTACTGCCCAGGTCATTTTCCTGAAGATTTCTTTCATCTGATGGCAGAATCTCAAAACCATGCCACTAAAAATACCAATTCCTAAATCCATCATCATTAAAAAAAAGTTAGAAAGCGTGAAAACGCAGTCCTGGGAAGGATTTGAAGAGGTCAGTTAGTTCATTCCCTTGCTCTCAAATGGTGTTAAGCATAAGGGGACCGTTCCTGAAGGACATCTGTATAACCTGTACTTAAACCCACAGCCTCCCTAGGCAGCCTTTTCCAGTGCCCAACTATGCAGTTGAGTTAGAAAACATGTTTGATGTGGGATTCATTTCATCACACACATGGCATTCTTCTCTGACCTCACTTCTGCAACATGCCATTTCTGGCAACTGTCTTTTGCAGTAATAACAGTGAGAGAAAGCTGTGCTTGTGTGTGGGAACACATGGTACTTATATTTAGATCTAAAATGAGGGTCCTGTCTTAAAACAATGAGGTATGTTTCCCAGATAAGCTTTGAACCACAAATCTTTTTAGTGCCGCATCACATGCCATCTCTATTGGCACATGTGGCCATGCAATTCCATCTCTTGGGGCAGTTCTTATATTCCCATATACCACTGAATGAAAAGTGTTGCAGAGAAGCCCAGTGTAGGGAAGACTGCTCTGGCCTCTAGGAGTTGGTGGATGTAGGACTTCTGGACCCTGGTGACTGTCTGTACAAGATGCTGTGCTGTGTTGTGTGTCTGGACCACTTCAGGTGAGACCTCCTGACCACCTCCTGCAAAACTTGAGTCATGATGGTGATGCTAGGTTTGCTTTCCTTTATTCCTTCAGCGGATTCTTTTAGAAGGTGTGTATGGCACTGCAAGCATGGCAGTTGGTGGATGTAGGACTTCTGGACCCTGGTGACTGTCTGTACAAGATGCTGTGCTGTGTTGTGTGTCTGGACCACTTCAGGTGAGACCTCCTGACCACCTCCTGCAAAACTTGAGTCATGATGGTGATGCTAGGTTTGCTTTCCTTTATTCCTTCAGCGGATTCTTTTAGAAGGTGTGTATGGCACTGCAAGCATGGCAGTTGTTATCCTGGGTGATTAATCCAGAGACCTACAGCACTGAACAGAACTAGCTGCTACACAACTGAGCCACTCCTGGGAACTGGGGGTTATTTCCCCTGTGATGGCACACAAAGAAGGGTGTATGCCAGAGGAACTGGTCCTCTATGTGCAGGGATGCCCGTGGAGCTGGAGAGGCACCGTCCTTTTTCATGTTTCTTTCTCCTTTGTTTTACTCCTCTCTGAAATTTCAGATGTCATTAAAAAACCCTAGATGAAGAAGTTAATTTGAGATACTAATGAAGAAATGATGTAAGGATCTAATCCATTTCTCATTTACAGTGGTATAAACTGAGAGCAGTTCCACTGAAGTCAACACAGATCTGCCAAAGATCAGAGCTGGCAAGTTTGCATGCAAGGACAAGCTGGAAAGAGCTTCTTCCTTGCCCTAGGGTCTTTTACAGAAGCTGGCCTAACTGAAGTGCAGCAGGTCTTCACTTCCACTTCCTTCCGAGCCAAAACCGGGATCAGGAGCCAAGCAGGACTAGGGAGCTCCTCTGCCAATATGGTAGAAAGGCAAAAATGTTATAGGATTGCAGATGATTTCTAAATGCATTTCTTTACCTCCAAAAGAGGCAGACTTGTTAGGTATGAGTGGTTGTTACACAGATGCAGCAATAGCGTAATAATCTGATTTTAATTTAAAATATTTCTGTGCTAATCTGATTTCTTATGCAAACCTGAGGCCCGCTGCTGTGCAAATAAACTAGCTGGCATGGGGGCTGGCTGCTCCCAGACTCGGGGGTTTTTGATCAACAGCAACTTGCATTCCATACGTGATGAAGAGGTACGTCTGAGGCCTGAGCTGAGTGTGGCCCTGCTCTCTGGAGCAATGGTAATATATCTTTTCCACTGTCTGGAAAATGTTGCATCTAGATCCGAGTTAGCTTAACATACTTAAAAATGGGTTTACATGTGGGCTGAAAACCTCAACTTCTGGCCACTGAAGTACAAGCTATGGGGTGGTGGCTGCTCACCCTCTCACGCTTATTTGTGTCTAACAAACCCAGAGGTTTCGAACTCTATTTTCCTAACCCACTAGCTGCAAAACTCCCACTAAACTGAATGGAGTCATTCAACTGAGTGCCAAGGCATTTCAGTGCTTGAAAGTGAATACCAGCACATTTGCATACCTCCTGGTGTGCTGGCTGCTTTAATCCCAGAGGACAGACCTCGTCCCCCTCTGCCCCTAAATCACGCCACTTCATCGCCTGGGTCCCCCGAGGATTCCTCTTCTGTGCTCTTTTGTGCAGATGCTCATTCACAATTTAAACATCACAAACTCTTGATGACAATATCCTAACTAGGAATAAACTATTGGCACATTTCCAGGGTACCGTAGTGCATATGGGTCTGGTCTGCTGAAAGGGAATTTGGCTGGAAAATAGAGGATTCAGTTCAAGCTCTAAAGCTGTCCTGAAATTAACGCCTTAGGTGACTTTGTATTTTTATTGGGGAATGTTTTATGCAGCTCTGTCTTTTCATGACTCATAATTGTAAAAAAACCTGTCTGCATTCAGCTTCAGGCTGCCGAAATGAATAGTACAGCCTTCCTGGGGTTTTAGTCTTCTAAACTTCTCTCTAAAATTCTAAAATTCCCACATTTTCAGTAGTTATAGTGAGACTTTTCTTCCTATTTATATATGAAATATGATATGATATATCATACTCTTTGCTGGGTAAAAAACTGGCT